AAAGAAATTTCCATTGGCTAACAAAAACTCTTTAATTAAAGGTGAATTTATTTCTGATAGATCACAGTGTTTTTTTTCTTTATATAACTACTACTTGAAAAAGGTACTGTTCCCAATGGTAAAAAGACATGAAAATTCCCAAATTCTAATGAGAAAATTCTCAAAATGACTGTTCAGGCCATGATATTTCTCTAAAATCATTATATTTATATTAATTACCACTCAATAGTTCTACCTGGACACTGGAAGATGTTAACTGTCTTTATACATTATGATTAATTTTATTTGTAGCTGAAAAGATGCTTAATAAAATTTGAGTCAAAATAACGCATTTTTTCCTAATCAGTCTGGTACCGGCACCAATAACCAAAGTAGAGAGAAAAAACCTGCTGGATCTATTCGATATCTTGTCATCATGATAATATAAATGGCCGAACATCATCGGTAATATTATTTTTTTAAATATGTATGTTCATTCTGTGTGAAAATGTAACAAGACCTGCAAATTACGAATGTAGGACAAAACCCCACCAGTTAAAACCCCACCACTCAAAATTTTATAGAGTGGACAAAACCCCACCACTACATTTCATAGAGTGGACAAAACCCCACCACTAAATTTTACAGAGTGGACAAAACCCCACCACTTCAGTTTTATAGAGTGGACAAAACTTTCTTGTAAACATGTTAAAAAACAAACAATTGTGCATCAGCAGAAACTCAAAATAATGTGTGAACAACTCATCAATAAGGAGTTACAGTTTGTAACACCTTTTTTTGCAATCAAAACATCAATAAATAATCTGTTTTGTTCTTCAGGGATTAGGATTAAGTTTTTTTGTGTACAGTTTGTAACACCTTTTTTTGCATATTGCACATGCAAGATGTACAAGCCTTGTTAATAAAATTGTTCATTCTTATATTACACAAATGTTATATTGAAATTAAAAAATAAAATGTGAAAAAATGTGTATATTATATATATTATAATTCATCAAATCTTGCCCAATAAGTGGTGGGGTTTTGTCCACTCTGCGAAATTTAGTGGTGGGGTTTTGTCCACTCTATAAAATTTAGTGGTGGGGTTTTGTCCACTCTATAAAATTTTGAGTGGTGGGGTTTTAACTGGTGGGGTTTTGTCCGTCTTCCGCAAATTACTGACTTCATCATTGCATTTATCTATTATTGAAAAACTACTGTACGGCTAGCCACAACAGTGTGTATAGGCTAGATATATGTGACTCACATACAGCTAGAACTTCAGGCACCCAGTACGGGCACATATGGTAACCCACTTGCTAAATACATAGAACATTTTATTTCACAAATAAACGGTTACCAAAAGAAACATTTCATCTTTTTATTTCTTTATTTTGATAACCTAAAGGACGTTTAAAAGGATTATTCTAAAGAAGGACGAATCGTCTCTAATCTGAAGTGAACCATCAATATAGTGGGGCGAAACGTTCTTGGGCGAATCATCAGTGGGGCAAATCATTATCAATTCAGCATGTGTCAGGTTTTCAATAAACACATCGGTAATACGGGACATTATCAATTTGCATATGTAAAATATTCAATTAAAATTTTCCGCTAAGCACAGTGTAAGAAATTCGGATTTGAATCCACTAGGCCGGTCGGACTACCAGATTGGAATATACACTAGTCAAAAAGACATTTCACTAGCACGATTCATTTGTTCAAAACAGTTGTTTATAGTGCCTCTGAAAATACAGTAGTCTGTTCGGGCTTGTTACTGTGAAAAGTTGGTAGCCCGAGGAGAAATTAAGTAGTCAGGGGCTATCGGTATATTGCTAATTTCGAACACGGTAAGCATTGCAAGTTGTAGCTTATCCGCAATTTTCAGTGATAGTCATAAGTGATTCTCGCGAAAACCAGTGACATTCCAAATAAACACTCGTAAGCGTTTAGCGGTTATGTTTTTCTCTAAGAACAACACACAAACCTACATTTTACATTTTTCTGTACACAAATATTTTCTTTACAAGTACTTACCAGCAAGAAACTGGCGATCATTCTCCGGTTTGTGAAATGAGCGTCTCCTTTGCGTCTTTCAATTTGCCGATTTAACTCCCTTGTTTTACTCACATTTATCGTGTGTATAAATTACTTCGAACGAAATCATTATTGCTGTAATTATTGGCGTTGATTACCTCAATGCTATATCTAATACTAGTAAAAAAACGCAAGTTTTCAATCGAATCGACGATTTACCGTCCGCCATTTTTAAGATGATTTACTGCCAAGTTAAGAAATTTCTTAACTTTAAGATAGGGTAGTAGCTGACTTATATTTAAGACAAAAATTGTCCATCTTAAAGACAAAACTTAAAGATAAAAAACAGTTGTGAATACCACTTAAGTAAATTGCGGATTTTTATCTTAAATCTAAGATAATTTCTCAAAATATAAGAAAAATCTTATATTTAAGTCAAAAAATTAACTTAAGATCAGTTGTGAATACGGCCCCTGAAGTATAATATCAATTTAGAAAGATTCATACAATTACGTTTCTTTGTAGAGCTAAATTACAAGAATATTTAATAGAATCTAACTTAAAGTTAAAAAAAAGATTTTATCATTAGTGGGTGGGGTAATGTTTTATACCAATCTGAATTATAATGTATAGATTATGCAGCGTTGCAACTATTTTGTTTAACTGTTTTAGCTTAAATAAAGCATGTTTGTGTATTAATGTGTTACTTTGTTCAGGACCATATGCGTAAAGTAACTGGGATTTTTAATTTCACAGATTTTTCCAATTGATTTCAATACATGACATTTTTAGCATTTTATACTTCGACTTTTTTTTGAGGACTTTTTTTCTGTAGCAACACATATATAGTAGATAACAATCTTTTCTGAAGGAATTTGTTTGAGATTGGGTCTTGTTTTTGGCTAAAATGCCTAGCCTAATACAATTTTGAAATGCTCATTGAAGTGTACTGAGTATAATGGGTAAGTAAGAACAAAGTAAAAGTTCCAAACCATGCGATAAGCAACTGTAATTGTACAGCGCGCAGTAATATAATTATTGTCTTGTTTAGCACGCGATATTTAGCGCTATATTGTGACGTCACGTAAACAACTCTTTAAACGTCTGTACAGCGTTAATGACTGAATTAAAGACATTGGTGTTCGGATTTATTTTCTTAAACCATTTTCTATCATTCTAGATAGTTTTCAATACAAATTCAACAAAAAGTTTTTTGTATTTATCAGATTTTTCAAACAAAATGGCGAAAGAAGTCCCTAGCTTAAAATAAATATGAGTTTTGACTCCGCCCACTTTCATATTTATATTTCATATTTATTTTTAAAAAATATGAAATATATTTGACTGATATAGCACCATATTTCATGGGTAAAATTAAATAAAGAAGAATATTCGACCGATGCGGTGGAGAGTACATATTTAATAGATGCTCGTTCATTGGTAACTTTTTTCTGGGGGTTCATATTGCGTCAACAGGGAACGTATTTTATTTTTGCCTATGATACAAAAGAGTTTCATATTGCGACAACAGGGAACGTGTTTTTATTTTTGCCTATGATACAAAAGAGCTTAGCCACAATGATATTGTTATAAACCGTGCGCATCATGTGTATTTGTAAAGATTTGATATATATATCTTACATTCTAACACTCCACGTGTTTTGTCACTATAGACAAAGAAGGAAAAAAACCGGTGTTAAACTGCCAAATAAACACTGGTTAGGGACTACTTGTATATGCGGCTGTTTTGTTTTCTCCCTCGATTATATAGTTTATAAGGCCTTTTAAAGCAACAATAAAAAACATTTTTATTTATATTTTCAGTTCTTATAATGTTTTCTTTTCATACAATACCGAAATAATATCTCACATACACTAACGCCACATATTTGATTCATATCAGTTACAAAACGGCGCCAATCCGTAAGCAGCGTAATGACGTCATCCTAAGTAAACAATTCATTCATTAACAAGCTGACGTTATTTCATGCATACAATAATGATTAAAGGGGGACTGATGTAAACACAATACGACGTAAGTTTTTATTGTTGAAAACTTGATAAAATAACGTTTTTTCTTATTATTTCTTTTGTTTTATAATTTCTATATCTTCGCAACAGTAGGGTGCGAAAATCGAACAGCGTAAATAGTGTTCAGTCAATTTTTTTATGTATTCAAAATTCTCTAAATGGATAATAATCAGAAAGAAGACATTTAAACTAACAATAAACTTTTTATTTGACAAAAATCAATGCATAGTTTTGATTTTAGGACATTTTGAAATCCGGTAACTAGGCTGATTCTAGAGAAGTAATTGTCATTGCATTGTTAATATATATATGGCACCGTTTTCAAAGAAAAATACCCCTTTTTACTTCAATCAAGGTATTTAGCAGTAAAATAAGTGATTTGAGGGCTATATAAGTAAACATTTTCTGAAAGGTTTTCAAATGACCAATCTTTTTACGCATAAATTAATCTGAAAAAAAAAACAAACAAAACAAGATGGCCGCCAAGATGGCCGCCTTTATCAGATTTTACAGCATATACAGGCTTATTTATGTAGAATATACTGGAAACAATTATGGAAAACTTGAATAAAAACAATCCAGAGCGTATGGTTATATAGTTCTTATTAAAATAATTGACCGCCGCCACGAGAAAAGGGCACTCGGGCATTTTTTTATCGATTTTTAGTTTTATAGCTAAAATTTTAGGACATGCATTATTTTACACGTTGCACTTTATTTAACATCGATATTGCAAATAGTTTTTGAGATATATAGGTTTAAAAAGAGGACATTAATGCAGCGTCAACGACAGATTTACGTAACGTCATAATAATTTTGACGACGTCAAATGTAGTTTAGCATATAACAAATGAATTCAAGTGTTTCCAAAGTTTTAATTTTGCACTAACTACAATAATATTAAGAGGATATTTTTTTTCGTTTGCGTGAAAAATGGAATATATTTTCACGAAACATGATAAAATGCCACATATTTTCACGAGCCGGTACGGCAAAAACTAATTTATATCACTGTTTTCAAGGTATTCTTGAACAATACATGTAGAACAATTACATTTTATCATTATAAAACTTTGACCTGCTGTCATAACCTACAAAACTTAATAGCAAAACATTAATTATAAAAAAATGGAAACAGTTGAACTTGAAAACATTAACAAAATTCATCACTCAGTCTTTACGCATGCAGCGTGAATCACTCTTCAGTGTATGGCGGGCACGTGGCATCTTGGTATGCAGGACGCACATATTTTCTAACGTTACGGTATAAGTATTCGCGACGTGTACGACTTAATCCTGCGGGCTGTATGACCTCGGGAAATGTTGTTGTTGGAACGTCAGTATTACGTCTTATCAGCGGAACCCGAACTTCCTCGCTATCTGATCTTTCCTTAACAAACACAGCCAACTTGTCTGCAGCAGAAAATCTGAAGCAGTGATATTTCTGTATGCCTTTCACTTGTAGGAAAAATCGGGTCAAATACGACTTCCAGTCATACCGGTGTTAAAATAATGTTATTTTATTAAAATGCAGTAAATACTGTATATAACGTATATTCTTTTTGGAAAATATACCATCTTTGTGAAAAAATAGTTTAGGCATTGCGTTTTTTTTTTCTTCAGAGATTATCATAAAATCAATAACTTTTTTATTTGTTTCTACTATGTACATGTATGTGTATTGCTAGTGATCGGCGTGACTCCGAGTATCATAATTATACATGATTCTTATAATGTTTAAGCCTACATTATATTATTTACTAGTTATCAAAAATAAGTATTAAAACTTTGTTGAAAATTAATTACCATTTCCATGTCTGATCACCGTTTTCATTTCGATATAAAACAGGGAAATTGTTCCTTGCCGATTTATCCACAATGTCTGCAAATTGACTCAGACTCTCACAATCAGACCTCTTGAATAGCTTTTTTATTCGCCCGAAGCCACCATCAACAAGACACCTTAGATAAACAATTAAAAAAAAAAGAATTAAAGAATGACAGTACAAACGAATTAGTTATCACATAAACATAAAAAACAACCTTAAGTAGTAAAATCCACTTAGCCATAAACTTTTTGAGTAGGCTGTTACTTAATTATGTGTTCATTTATATCTGAATAAAATATGAGGATTTTATTTAATTTTGTGACCAAACATAAGGATTTTTATTACTTTAGTAACATAACCAACGCTTAAGAATATGCAGTCACAACCCAAACGCAACGATGCTATGTATAAATATATCAACCTACTTACTTTGTATGCCCGGGAATAGCCATATTCAATTGCATGTGTTCATGTTACCCTCTGTTTACTCTCCAACAAAGATACGCCAGTGTGTATCGATTCTTATTTTGACCTGATAACAAGAAAAAGTAACGCTAATAACTTTATATTACTTGTTTTAGTATTATTAATCAATGAATATGCTGAATATTTTTATACATAAGTTAATGCAAAAACAAGATTTACCTCCGCAATTATCTGCATGTTGATTAAGTCCTTTCTCGCCAAATCCGTAATTCTGTAAACAATGATGGAGCATGCTTAATACTGAATTCGGTCCATGTGTCCCAGTTCCATCTAAACCTGTAAGGTGACACTAATTTATATGAAATACTGTTTTATGTCCATTAATAAAAACGGAAATAATATAGCGTAGTGTAAAACTCATTAATGCAATGAACTAATATTTCGGGAGGACGACAATATGCCTGTACGTGTATGAAATAATAATTACCTACATTCAATCACACATCCTATTCTGTCATGGTATAATGGTTAATTGATAAATATAAACATACCTATAGACTGATCTTCATCTATTTAAGTAGTTGAACTTCTCACTTGAAGAGTCAATGCGGACACCGAACATATTTATTTTTTCTGCCTGTCACAAAGTACATGGGTCCCATCTGTCGGCTGTGATGAGGGATTGTCACACTCTGACTGTAGTCAAAAGTGATATGGACCTAATAAATTGACCAAAATATTTATCAATAAAATTCTAACTTTTTAAAGCATTTTATATTATACATGTATGTTGACTATTTTAATGATGACTTTATTTACTAATATTCTGATTAATATAAATTACATTTACATGTAAACCTTAATCATCTGATTTTTTTTCCAAAATGAATCACATATACATTTGACAAAATTGCCTTAAGTTTGTAAATTGTTAATTTAAAAACCATGCAGTTTTGTTCGTTAAAACCATTTTTGGAATTATCAAATATATAGACAGGAGCCTTCAGACTATTGCACTCTCAATATGTTATTTGCACTGATAATTGTAATATTGCACGTTTATAACGTCATTTTTGTCACCGGATAATCGTGACGTTAATATTATCTGTATACTCTGCTGCAATCGATTTATAAATTTATTTCATATTACCTCTAACAAAGAAAGTTTGCATTATTATAAATTCGTAATAAATATTCTGGCTGAATGTAAACGGTAATTTGCAATTGCCTTACGGCTCGGGTTATATATACAACGGTCATATAACCTGTAAAAAGATCTTTATAGCTTATACCATAACTGTCATAGGCATACCTTACTGAACTCTTGGGAAAATGGTGCGACGGGTATTGTCGGTCGGGCATAACCTACCATCTCTTCTCTCGCCTGAATAACCGCTGTCATGTACGCCTGACGTTCTGTTTGAGCATCCTAAAACAGTATAGTAAAACATAAATTGTGGTTACACTAAATACGATTTATTCAATCCAAAGCACAACTATATAAATATACAGTGTAATGTACGGTAATTTTACCGTTTCATTGAAAAACAAAATAAATGTACATGTATATAAAATATTTATGATTGTAATTGTAATGTCTACGGTAATATTTAAAGGGAAAAATTAAAAGCTACTTTGAAAATTACAAGATAACAATTAGCAATATAAAATACCTGCACATGATCTCTAAGACAATTTGCTGCATCAAGTTTTGCTTGCTCCGTCACAGCATTTATAACATTATGTCGCAACTGCTCACACTTATGGCACACGTCATCTTTTGGTGACATTATCTTAATGTGTGGAATGCAATTTTTCCATACATTTTTAAATGATGACACTCCAAGCTTCCGTACATCTGTCTCCTCACATGCCTGACAATATTGACTGTGTAGAGAAACTTTTGTTAGGTTCGACGGGAGAAGAATAGAGGCTTCCCCGTCACGGCCCCTGGGTGCTGCTGAGGTAAGCCATTGATATCTGCATACCATACAATCCAGTCTACACAAAACCGTATCTCATTGTAACCGAGGGCATGCTGTGGTTTTCTTCCAGTGTTACCGTGGGTACGTGGTATTGCGCCATTGGTTGTAAAGTGATCAAAGAAGGTTTCGGAGAGCTTTTGATCCGATATCATTGACATACATGAATGCCTTCTTACAGATAGGTTTACCATGAAAAGTGTATCAGGTTTACCATGAAAAGTGTATCTAAATCGAGTCCGTTTCCGGCGTTTCCCTTTAAGAGTTTCGTCAGTAGCAATTTGATGTACACTCCCAGTAATGAACAACTCTGCATCATTTCTGTCAATCTCTCTCATAGAGAGTATATGACTGTCAACACTAGCTTTGTCAAACTTGAGAAGGCAATCAACTTTACACGAACAAATATTACTGGCTCTGTTACATGATGCGTCATCAGTGTCTCTGTCTGTGTCTGATTCCCTAGTATTTACAGTTTCATAATTTCTTACCACTTCTTCAATCCTTGCATTCACTACCTGTTCTGTGTCAGACTGTTCTTCGTCACTGTCACTGATTTCAAACTCCTGGCTCAGATCATCAAGAAAATCAACCTATGTGGATGTAGGACTCTGCTCGGCAGGTACTCCAAATGATTCAAACAATCCGTTTAATTCCTAAAATAATAGAAAAAGATATGTTCACTATGATACTGAAAGAAGATTAAATGTAAAAAAAAAGAAAAAAAAAAGGACAGAGAGAGGTTTCGAACCTCGATCGTCGCACACGCGAAGCAACCGCTGTATCCACTGAGCTACTGACCCATGTCAAATTTGCGGATCAATATTTATTATATAAAAATAATAATTGCTAAAAATAGCAAACAGGGGAGAGAATCTCGTCGCTTAGCATTTATGTAAACACTGCTTTCAAAAGAAAAAAAATCGGTTACAGCGATAATAAAATTCAATTTAAATAAACAAATATGAAATAAAGAAAATAGAAAATGCAAGTGTGATATCATTTAAAAATCATTAAACTGATAGTATTGCTGTGAATAATTCGTAGACCGGGATTTAAAGCTGCAAACATAGCGAACAGCAGACGTTTTTAAAAAGCTAATATTGTAACAGTAGCCTAAAACAAAGACTAGACATCAGAGATTTAAAAATAAATATAACATAATGTTTGTTTTTTACCTCGAATTCGTCCATTTCCTCAAAAATTTCATATACAGCCAATACTTTATTAATCTCGCGCACCGAAACAAGTATGGAGACGAAACAATCGCTGTCATTAGCCGCTCTCCTTTTCCCGAAGTTTTTGACGTTACGTCATATATGCCCGAGTGCCCTTTTCTCGTGGCGGCGGTCAATTACAAAATGGCTTCCAAGATGGCCGCCAAATTCAGCATTTGCTATGAAAAGGTTCATTTTCATTAAGTTATAAAGAACAATCATGGAAAAGTTTTTAACACAAACAGAATTAAACAACTCACAGCCTTGCCTTTTTGAAAAAAATCATAATCATAATGAAATTTACAGCAGAATAATAAGAAATGGCCGCCAAGATGGCCGACAAAGTACAAAGTCAGTATCTTAAATCATGACTTTTTCATGATTTTTTCATGATTTTTCAAGCTTTAAACAAAGTTTGATCTGCTTCTATAAACAATAAGTTTAATCTCACATGTGTATTGCATAGTGTGTTTGCTATTTGCTTTCAATTTCAGATGAGTTATAACTGTTATTTTAGTATATTATGTTCTCACAAGATCATTAAATCACCGTTTTTCAGGTCGAATAATAGTGGGAAGAACAATGTTTCTTCAGGTTCATCATCATATCTAATTATATATTCTGTTTTTAATGTATTTTCTGTGACCTTTTATATTCCAATCACATCTCCCAAGAACCACATTACATTTCCATTTTCTAAGCACTTGTGAGAGACGTTTTTTCCAACAAGATCTTCTGGTTTTTGAAGGTAATAAGGAAGTTTAATTTTTTGTTGATCAACTTTCCTTTTGTCTCTTGCTTTCAGCATTGTTTTTACCAGTTCAGATTTTTTTCATTAACCTTTTGCCTTTTGTATACTAATCCTTCTTGTTTATTTTCGTCATATTCCAAAGCTTCATTTAGGTCAAGAATTTTCCCTAGATTACCAGCGAGCTCGTCATTTGTATATTTTCTCTTATTAGCAGATTCCTGGAAAAGTTCTTTGTCACCTTTTGATTTTAAAACACTTTTGTGAAATTTTATTTGAGTTAAAAAGGCATTCCTTATTTGTTTGTTGTCCATTGATGCCATTTTCTCATGTACTTCTTTTTTCGTCCAGCGTCTACCATATTGGGCAATGCCTCTACTGAGATTTTGTTTGTGCTGTCCTTTATTTCTTTATCAGCTACCTTTCTTGCTTCAATTCTAACTTTTGTTTGAGTTCCCCTCTAAGCTGTATTTCTTTATTCAAAAGAAACTTTTATTTTTGATGCCATTTTTCTGGCACTGTCTAAAATATCTTGTCTTTCACTGTCTGGGAGTGTTGCCAACCACTGAAACGGCTTATTTTTAGAGCACATAACAAATGCTTCAAGGGAAAGACTAGATGATGCTGGCTTTATTCTTAACAGATTATCAAGAGTAGCCATACCCCTTTCAGACAGTGTGTTTGTTTTTGGAACATTGGCTGCCCTTAGATGGGTTCCAATATTTACCCTCTGGTAGTTGGGATGCAGCCTGCCTTTCAAGCAATATAAGCAGCTGTGAAGACAAGAGTTCAAGAGCCATAATTGTAAGAGCATCTAGATGAGGGTCATCTGTTGCTTGAAATAGGGACTGGTAAATATCATCTTTTTCAATATACTTAACATCAAAGATGCAGTCCTCTGCTAATGGTATCTTCCCATCCTGTGACCACTGGTTAAGGCTTATCTGCATTTGATGTAAGGAAGTATTCAAATCTAGTATGCAGCCATCTTTTTCAAGAATACGCTAGAATGGACCAGTACAAAGCTTATCAAAAATGCCCATAGCTCGACAGCCACTTAGGTACACCATTTCATTAATGTCAAAGGCAATGCACTTCGAAAGTCCATTTTTTCAGGCCAACATTCAAGGAACTCCTTAATTTCATTACGGTGATGATATACCGCTGCCCCGTCATGAAAAGCAATATTTATACGGTGCCCATGGAAAGTTACTATTCTGTTTTTATCCCTTTTCCAGCCAAATAAGTCTCAAAGTATGAGTTGACACCAGCCTTGTCTGACCCACGTTTTGTAAAGGCTTTTGCTGCTGTTCTAAGGAGGCGAAAAGATCCACTTTCAGCACCATATGCATGTGGGTTTTTTCATTCTTTTTTCAAAAATAACT